TGCCTGACAATGCTCTTAGTAATCTGTGATACTAGCTTGCAATTATAAAACTGAAAATCTCAGTATTCTAGAGCCAAAATAGTCACAAAACAGTTATATTAGTGGGCACAGTTGGAGGGAGAAAAAATTTGAGGAAGAGATGCAGAGAGGACCAACCAAATCCTTGTGTGCTACACATTAGAACAGGAGAGAGAGACAGAGGCAGACACAGAAAGAGAGAAACAGGCAGAGACAGAAAGAGACAAAGAGAGACAGGAACTAAACAAAAATAAATACATGACTTTCTATTAAATCAACAACAAGGAACAACTATTGAAGACCTATTCAGCACAAAGTTGATGACTTCTTTAGGAGCAATAAAAGGTACTTTATTTAAAGTTGTCAAAATCTGGCAGACACTTTAAGGTCTGGAGATACCATTAAGATTGAGTGATATAGAGAAAATAAAAGCTTTTTCTAAATTCAGAAACTGATTTTAAAAGAGGAAAAAGATTACATTAGGGAAAAGCCTAAAGAGCCGTTAGAAAATTGGTGGGAACTGTCTACCCTCGTACAGGCATTGAGAGGGGTATATCGGTGTGCAGAGATTTTTGAAACGATAGTAAAACTGACTAAAACTTAAAAAAAAATTGGTTTACATTTTACCATGTTCAAAGTTGAATTTTATTTATATCTTGCTTAATTTTGGCTAATCATATTTAACAGAGATTTTAATAAACATGTTTATTCAACAAATAGGAGTGTTTATTCCTTGTCTTGGCTGCTTGCCAAATAAATTAGAAAAGTGACCACAATTCTCTACTGACAGTCGATAAAAACAATCGTGGTCGGGGCCGGCCTGGTGGTGCACTGCTACAGTGCGCTGCTTGGGAGCGCGGCGGCCCTCCCGCCGAGGGTTCGGATCCCACATACAGACCGGTTCCCGCTCACTGGCTGAGCGAGGTGTGGGAGCAACACCGAGGGTTGCGATCCCGTTGCCGGTCCCGGTCTGGTACCGGCGCGACACTGAGGGTTGCGATCCGTTGACGGACACGAAAAAAGACAAAAAGGAAAAAACAAACAAACAAAAAAAAAAACAATCGTGGTCATTATTTAAATGATCAACTTAACCCCTTAAATCCAGGAACTGCCAAAACACAATAAAGATTAAAACTTTATCAGAGTGAATGGAAATTCTGGCAGAAGAAGTCTGGCAAGTGAATGAGTAATCTGTCAAAACCTGTGATTATTTGGGTCTCTGGACAAGCAACTGTCATGGTGGAAGGAGCACGTGCTATAATGCTCCACAGACTGGGATTCCAATCACAGGACTACATTTACTGGGTGTTTGATCATGCCATCCAGCATCTCTGATCTTCAGTTTCCTTGACCATAAAATGAAGGTAGTAATATCTACTTCCTCATGACCTGGGGATAGTAAAGAATTTTTTAAACCAGAAAAGAAAAAGGCACTAAACTTTTCACTTGAAAGTGATAGATAACTCTAAGACATTAAAATCAAGAATATCTGTTTACAAAGAGAAATCATGAAAGTATTTTAAAACATAGAAAGTGAGATATGCTCATTTTTAGCTGACAGAGGACTAATATTTAGAATAATAAATTAAAGAAATTTTATAAGTCAAGAAGAAGAGGAGGAGACTAAAAATATGCAAAAAATTTAACAGAAACTTCACAAAAGAGCAAATCCTGGCTAATAAAGAGGAGAAGATGCTTGGCCTCATCAGTTATCAGTAAAATGCAAATTAAATACTACTACTTCTCAGGGTTGTTTGGAGGATTAAATGATCATATATTTAAAACACCTACATAAGTCTTGGTACATGGTAGGTGTAAAAACCATAAATCGACTTCCCCGATGACCCTTGTTTAACCGTTTCTAAAGGCCATCGCTATAATGATTAGAGCATCCAGATATGAAAAAAACTCTCCATAGTCTTAATATCCACTAATAACCTGAACTTACATTGGATGCTTCCAGAGCTTAGAATCAAATTTGAATTCCTCTCTAGTGAATATACAAAATTATTCTATATGCAATTTTTATGCACTAACCCTGTTCCTAGCTTCTTGCTATCTTTCTGACTACGTTTCTCTTTATGCTAATTTTTCATCCCCTTTAAGTTCATTTTGCATTGTTTTAGTACATGCACCTAGGCAAGGCACTTTAAATTCTTTCTGAGAACAAATAGGGTATAAATCAACATTATAAAACAAGTGATTGCAAGCACTGGCCTATCACTTAGAAGCCCTTTGTCTTCCCGTGAATCTTCTGAGCATGATACATCTGTGGGTCAGGCACAAATGCACTGAATTTGTCATGCCAGTGGGTCACTATGGAGAAGGCTCAAAATGATCATCCTGAGAATTGCACTTGCTGTTTGGAAAGTACCGTAATTTAGTCTGTTCTAAAAGTTTATCTGTTGAGGTAGTTTCTAGTCAATTGGAAGGAATGACATGTACACATTTGATCTATGACCAACAGACCACTTATGTCAGCACATACCAAAGACGTCGAAGCCTCGGAAAAGTAAGGAGGTTGTGGTGTCTCCGCAGCTATCTCAGGATCTTCCTGTTCACTTTCACTGTAGCATTCTATAACAAAATTGAAAATGCTTCATGTTTTAATGCTGTCATCACGTACTCCATAATGCATGAGTAGAGGTTTTTCTCCATCTGGCTATTGCAATTTCAATCCAATTCAGAAAGTACGTATCTCGTGAACTGCCTGGTGCAGGGGATTTCATAAAAGAGAGAAACGAAAGGCCACCTCAGGATGCCTGCCCTCAAAGGGCATCTGGTATGCAGGAAGAGGACCAACCATAGCTCGGGGACAATGAAACAATTACTCAAAGAAGGTGTGAGTCATATACAGCACTAAGAGTGCATAAAATCAGTAGTTATTCATTTTAATCACAGAAATCATAATGAAATGAAACTAAAACAACAATGCTGCACAAAGAACGAAGAGTATCAGGCTGAGGGAGCAGCTGAGCCAAGGAAACGGAGACTCCTAAGGGACACCATAGAAAACAAAGCTGAGAGGTCAAGGAGGCCATGTCATGGAAGGCCTTAATACCAAAATAAGGAGAGGTGTTTTGTGTGATTCCCCCTGCTATGGGCCACATGTGTCCCCCAAAAGATCATGTAGTGGAAATTTAATCTCCATTGTAGCGGTGTTAAGAGGTTAGGAAATCCTATTATGGTCATTGAAAGGTGGGGCCTTTAAGAGGTGATTAGATTATGAGAACTGTACCCCCGTGAATGGATTGACCCATTCATGGAGTAACAGGAGTGGTTCTGATGGCTTTATACAGAGAGTGAGCGAGCAGGCTGGCTCTCTCCTGCTCAGCCCAATCTTGCCACGAGATACTGCATGTTGCTGTGGAAGGTCCTCACCATGTGTGTGCATGTGTGTCTCCATTTATGTCTCACCAAGTGTGTCTGTACTGTAGACTTCCCAGCCTCCAAAACGGTAAGAAATAAACTTCACTTCTTCAACAATTACCCAATTTCATGTATTTTGTTATAAACAACAGAAATGGACTAATACACCTCCCTCACAATCCATAAATATATGATGGGTGTTCATTTTATGGAAAAGAGGACCAAGAAGATGGTTAAGACACTGATTTCATGTTGCTGTATTATACTCCTTTATAGTTTTAAATCAAGTTGCCACTTTTCCATTTCTACATTTACAATTTTATGATTTTGTTATCAAAAGATATAACTCCTCACTTCCAATCTCCCAGTCCTATGTGGTCTGAGCATTTCAGAAATACTATCAACTCTGTGGCCCTGGCACCTAAAGCCTCCCCCTTTTCAACACTCAGAAGTAATTGCGTCCTTAAGAAGAATAAGACTCCTGTAGCTT